AGACTGCCGGGTGGAGTTCAGATCCCAGCCCCACCCTTACCAACCGGGTCACCGGGGAAGGGCACCTAACCTACCGTTCCCATCCTCAGATTCCTTACCTGTGAAATGGGAACAGCAGCTCCCGGCTCCTAGGATTGGTGAGAACAAAGTGTATGGAGCATCAGACTTGGAGCTGCCCAGTAAAAGATGTCCCTGAGGGCGATTAGGTTGATTTGGTCCTACCAGCCGAGCCTTACGTGGAAGCTGAGAGTGACTGGTATGAATTTTAGCTCAGTAAAGACTCAGCCGTGTACCCTCTCTGGGCCTTTCTGCATAAGCTTGCCAGAGCGGTTGAGTTTCCTGGGGTTACTGTAGCAAAGCACCATGAACTGGGGCGCTTGAAACAACGGAAATGCGTCCTCTCACAGATCTGGAGGCCAGGAGTCCAAAGTCAAGGTGTGGGAGCCTCGTTCCGCTGCTGGAGGCCACCAGCGTGCCTTGGCTTGTGGCCACGTCCCTCCAGCCTCTCCACTGTCATGTGGTCTGTGTGTCTGTGTCAGAAGCCCCGTCTCCTTTCCCTTCTAAGGGTTCCGGTGCTAGGATTTAGGGCCCCCCTCGTGTGGCGTGACCTCGTCTTCATCAGTTGCATCTGTAGAGACTCTTTTCACGGAAGATCACATTCTGAGGTTCCGGATGGACAGAGGTTGGGGGGGGGGGTGCTCTTCTAGCCCATACACTTGCCGATAACGTCAGGAGCTTGGGCCACGGGAGGCCAGCAGGATGGCAGCGTGGGCTCTGCCCCCACGACCGCCTGACTGTGTCAACCAGGTGCCACTAACTGGGTGCCACCAACTAGCTGTGTGGCCCCGTGTGAGTTAAGTAGCTATCGTGTACCTCAGGCTTCTTCTGCCGTAACAACGAGGAGAGCAGGAATTCTACTTCGTAAGGTTTTCCGAGGATGAGATGAGCTCTAAGTACAGTTGCAATCAGGTTTTTCCAGGAGACTCTGAGATGAGAATTCCTGTGCAGGTGATTTTATTTATTTATTGTTTAAGTATTCATTTATTTTTGAGAGAGAGAGAGAGAGAGAGGCTGAGCATGAGCGGGGGAGGGACAGAGAGAGAAGGAGACACGGAATCCGAAGCAGGTTCCGGGCTCTGAGCTGTCAGCACAGAGCGCGACGCAGGGCTTGAACTGACAATATGCAAGATCATGACCTGAACTGAAGTCAGACACTTAACCAACTGAGCTACCCAGGTGCCCCCCCCTTTGTAAATCTTTATTGTTAATTTATTATTTTTGAGAGAGACAGAGAGTGTGAGCAGGGAGGGGCAGAGAGAGAGGGAGACATGGGATCCAAAGCAGGCTCTAGGAAGGCAGCGTGGCATCTTGGAGAGGACATGGGACTCGGAGTCAGAAAACCGGGGTTGGAGCCCTGGCTCTGCCAGGGCTTGGCTGTGCGACATTGAACAAGTCTGTCTCTGGGCCTCAGTTTTCCGTATGTGTAAGATGGGACTGATGTTAAAAACAACAGTGATAATAATACCCACTTCTGGAAATAACACTGAAATCGGTTAAGGATATAAAGCGTTTTTTCCTTAGTGGGCTTGGTGGGAGTGAGTCGTGCTTTGGCAATGAGGGGGGCAGCGGGGGATGGGTCCCGACCGCATCAGCCTGGAGCGTCTACCCCGTGGGAAGCCCTAGAATACAGAGACAGTTGAGGCAGGATGGCTGCCCTCCAGGACGTCCGCATTGTGACTGTTATAGAAAGTCTCGTGTTCTCCAGGGCTACTGCGGTGGAGTTCAGATCCCAGCCCCACCTGCAACGGTCACGAGAGAGGGCGGCGTTCTCCTGGGTGCCTGTAAATGAAATTTAGCAGCTCCAGCTACGTGGATTGGTGAACAACATATGAGCATCAGGCTGCCCAACAAATCGCGAGAGGCGTTAGGTTGATTTGGTCCTACCAGCCGAGCCTTGGTAAACTGAGAGAAGTGACTGGTACAATTTTAGCTCAGTAAAGACTCAGCATTACACCCTCTGGGCCTTTCTGCATAGCTTGCCAGGCTGGTTGAGAGTTTCTATGGAGGTTACTGTAGCAAAAGCACCGCTGAGCTGACTTGAGCAAACCCGGAAATAGATCTCTCACAGATCTGGAAGCCAGGGTGCAAAAAAGTCAGGGTGTGGGGAACCCTGCGTTCAGCTGCAGGCTCAGCGTCTGCTGCACCCAACTGGCAGCCACGTCTCCTCATCCACTGTCATGGTCTGTGTGTCTGTGTCAGAAGCCCGTCTCACTTTCCTTCTAAGGGTTCGATTACTAGAGATTTGGGCCCCCTAGGTGTGGCGTGACACAAAATATTCCATCAGTTGCACCTCTCTGGACTCTTTTCAGAAGAATCTTTGACCTCTGATTCCCGGATGGATAGAAAGTTGAGGGGGGGGGGGTGCTCTTCTAACCACTTGCCGACGCGTCTTGAGGCTTGGGCCACGGGAGGCCAGCAGGATGGCAGCAGTGGGCTTTCACCCCACGACCGCTGGCCTGTCCAGGTGCCACCAACACAAGGTGCCACCAACTTATGTGGCCCCAGTAGTTAAGCCAGCTATAGTGTACTCAGGCTTCTTCGTGTGTGGCTGCTTGAGGAAACAGGAATTCACCAAATGAGTTTTCCGAGATGAGATGAGCTCAAGTACAGTTGCGATCAGGTTTTCCAGGAGACTTGTGAGATAGAGAATTCCTGTGCAGGTAATTTTATTTGTTGTGTTAAGTATTCATTATTTTAGAGAGAAGCTGAGCATGGCGGGGGAGGACAGAGAAGCCGAGGAATCAAGCAGGTTCAGACTCCTGAGCTGTCAGCACACAGAGACATGACAGCAGAGCTTGAATGGCTCATGTCTCTGGAATCACAGCTTCAGAAGAAGTCAGACCACTTAACCAACTGACTTTATAGAGGTGCCCCCCTTTTGTAAATCTTTGACTTGTTAATTTATTATTTTTTGAGAGGGGAGCAGAGAGTGTGAGGGAGGAAGGGCAGAGAGAGAGAAGTATGGGGGGATCAAAGCAGGCTGTGGAGAAGGCAGTGTGGCATCTTTGGAGAGGACATGGGACTGGGAGTCCGAAAACAGGGGTTGGAGCCCACAAGCTCTGCCAAGTGACTTGGCATCTTAAGCATTGAACAAGTCTGTCTCTGGGCCTCAGTTTTCGTGGCTCGTGTGTAGATGGGACTGATGTTAAAAAACAACAGTGATAATAATACCCACTTCAAATAACACTGAAATGGGTTAAGGATATAAGCGTTTTTTTGCTTAGTGAGGCTTGGTGGGGAGTGAGCCGTGCTTTGGCAATGAGGGGGGGCAGCGACGAGGATGGGTCCGACCCGCATCAGCCTGGGCGTCTACCCCGTGGAAACTAGGCCACAGGAACGGTTGAGGCGGATGGCACTCCAGGGCGTCGCGTGTGACTGACATAGAAAGTCTCACGCTCTTCAGGGGAGCAAGGCCCAGGTCTTACCTGAGTTTGGCCACAACATTGCACAAATGCCTGTTCATGGTGTTCACCACCTGCTTGGGCATATCAGGACAGGAGGGGAGAGATTCTCAGAGAAAAGACTCAGATGGAATGGAGCAGGTTGGAGGAGGGAATCATGTAGGGAGAAAGGGAGAATGTTTCTCTCTTGTTGGTGAGGCTGACCACCACTGCTCACAAGGAAGCAGGTCTTCATCAACCCCGAGTGCTTGCCTTGGGAGGCTGATAATGGTCCCAAAATATCAGGTCCTGATCCCTGGAATCTGTGGATATTTACCTGAAATGGGGTAAAATATTTGGTTGTGGGGCGCCTGGTGGCTCCCAAGCAGCTTGCCTTCGCTCGGAGGCCAAGGTGATCTCTGACCGATGAGTTGAGCCTTATATCGGCTCTCTGCTGTCAGTGTGGACCCTGCTTCGGAGTCTCTGTCCTCCCTCCTCTGCACCTGCTCTGCTCACCCTCTCTCAAAAATAAATAAGCTTAAAAAAAATCTTTACGAATGCTGAATTTTGTTAAGATCCTGAGAGGGAAGCCTGGGTGGCTCGTCCGTTAAGTGTCCGACTTTAGCTCAGGTCAGGATCTTCCCAATGGTTTTGATTCCTAAATTGGCAGTGTCTCTGTGCTTCTTCTTCCGAGGAGCCTGCTGCTGCCCGGATTATGTGTCTCTCTCTGCTCCTCCCCTGTTCATGCTCTGTCTCTCTCTCTCTCAAAAATAACTAAACATTAAAAAAAATTAAAAAAAAAAAAGATCTTGAGAGGGGAGGTTATCCAGAATTATTCAGGTGGGCCCTAAATGCGATCAAAGTGTCCTTATTATAGGCGGGCAGAGGGTCTTGACACAGACCCCACGAGAGGAGAAGGCCCTGTGTGACCGCGGTAAGCCAGTGACCTGGCCTGGCAAGGGACACTGGGAGCCACCAGAAGCTAGAAGAGGAAGGACTCTCATCCTCCCTGAATATAG